TGGGTTTTTGTGTGTCCTCCTGGCTTCCCTGGGAGAGATCCCCCTTCCCACCAGCCTCTTCTCAGTTTTATGGGAATAACTTGGGGTTTTTCCAGTTGTGTCCCCAAGTCCCTTTTGGCTTCTGAGCTGCACAAACCCAGTGATTTATTGATGGTACCTTGCAGGGTTTATTCAGAAAGATTCTGGCTCTGTCCAGTCCCCAGAGCCTCCCATGTTTTTGGGGTAAATCCTGCTTTTCCTTGGGGCTTTGGGCTTCTGAAGCCATGACAAAATGATCAAGAGAAAATCACAGAAACCTTCCTGTGCTGTGAATCTTGAAAACAACTAGTGTGGTAAAATGTTCTCTCAGGGGTTGTAAAACCCCCTGCAAACTTTTCCCCTTCCTCTTTGCAGAGATGGATCGGGCCATGGGAGGGGGATTTGAGAGGGAGTTTGGAAGAAATGAGATGGGAATGTCCCGGAGTTTCGGAGAGACCCTGGAGAGGGGAATAGGTGAGTGCAGTAAATGAAATCCATTTCCTGTCTGCTTTTCATCCCTGAACTGCTCACAAAAATGACTGGGGGGGTGGGGGGGGTGATACAGATATAAAAAAGCAGATTTTAGATTTGCTCTAGGAATTTGCTGTCTGGCTTTTAAATGCTGCCAGGAAGTTGTTAAATTTTTGTCAGTGAAAACAAAATCTTGCTTCTCCTGCTGTCTGTATCACATTCAACTTCCAAGTATGTTCCCTGGAAATACTGGACAATCTCAGTAATGAAACTGCAGAATTTCTGGAGCAAAGTTGAACCCAAACATCTCTGAGCAGGCTGAACTCCCCCATCCATTTCCAGATTTAATTTGGTTTAATGACCAAATCACAACATTTCAGAATCAAGGGAACCATTCCCTGAGTCCTGTCCGTCCATCCCTTGTCCCAAGTCCCTCCCCAGCTCTCTTGGAGTCCCTACAGACCCTGGAAGAGGCTCTGAGCTCTCCCTGGAGCCTTCTCTTTTCTAGGTGAGCACCCCCAGCTCTCCCAGAGCTCCAGAGGGGCTCCAGCCCTGGGAGCAGCTCCGGGTTCTCCTCTGAACTCTCTCCAACATCTCCACGTCCTTATTTTGGGGTCCCAGGGCTGGGGCAGCTCTGCAGGGGGGTCTGACCTGAGCATCTGAGTTTGCCTCATCCCGCAAGCCCAAAGGCCTGGACTGAGGCAGCTCCGAGTGATGGGAATTCACCCAGCAGAGCGAGCAGCCGCCCAGGTCTCTGCAGCCCTGCCCAGCTGCTGATGCTGTCTGTGCTGTGTTGCAGGTGGTGGCAACGCCAGCATTCCTGGCATCGAGAGGATGGCCCCTGGCATCGATCGGATGGGCTCGGGGATCGAGCGGATCCCGGCCGGGATGGGGCACGGGATGGAGCGGGTGGGCTCGGAGATAGACAGGATGGGGCTGGTGCTGGACCGCATGGGCTCCAACGTGGAGCGGATGGGCTCGGGCATGGAGCGCATGGCCCCGCTGGGCATCGACCACCTGGCCCCCAACCTGGAGCGCATGGGGCCGGGCATCGAGCGCATGGGCTCCGGCATCGGCTTCGGCATCGAGCGCATGGGCGCCGCCATCGAGCGCGTGGGCGGCGCCATGGACAGGATGGGCTCGGGCGTGGAGCGCATGGGGGCGGGCATGGATAGGATGGGCATCGGCCTGGAGCGCATGGTGCCCGCCGGCATGGGCACCGGCATGGGGCAGGTGATAGAGAGGATGCCCGCGGGGCTGGAGCGCATCGGGGGCCCGCCCATGGACAGGATCGGGATAGAGAGGATGGGAGCCGCCCCCATGGACAGGATGGGCCTGGAGCGCATCGGGGCCACCAACATGGAGAGGATGGGGCCACCCATGGGGCAGGGCATGGGGGCAGGGATGGAGCGCATGGGGCTGGCCATGGGCAGCAACTTTGAGCGGCCCATGGACATGGAGCGGGGCAACTTCGCAGGGAATTTTGCAGGGCCCCTGGGAGGAGCCGGAGGCCCTGCGCCCGGCGTGGCCCGGAAAGCCTGTCAGATATTTGTGAGAAATGTGAGTGCCCCTTTTTCCTTCTCCTTTTCGTGCTGCCCCCTTTTCCCACTCCTGCCCTTTCCCACTCCTCCCTTCCCACCCGTGGCATTCATTGTCACTCATGTGTTGATCTCATCCATGCTTGGTTTCCAATCACAATGTCTAATACTGGATGCTGCCAAATTCTGGGGGGAGTTGGAACCATTTCCGTACCAGAAGAACTTCTGGCTGAGAGTGATCCATGGTTTTATGGCAGTGGCTGTCCTGGGGGTGTTTTTTTGGGGTTTTGCAGAGCTGCCTGCAGGTTGTTCAGAAGAGCCTCAATAATGGTTTATTCTTCTCGTCCCACAGCTGCCTTTTGATTTTACATGGAAAATGCTGAAAGATAAATTCAATGAATGTGGTGAGTTGTTTTCCTCACTCTGAGGAATGAATATGAATAATGGCCAGATAATAACCCAGAGGGCAGGGTCAGAGGGGATATTGGGAAAGAACTCCTGGCTGGGAGGGTGGGGAGGCCCTGGAATGGATTTCCCAGAGAAGCCGTGGCTGTCACTGGAAGTGTCCACAGCTGGGCTGGATGGGACTTAGTGGGAGTGTCCCTGGGTGGCACTGGATGCTCTTTAAGGTCCCTCCTAGCCCAGACCATTCCATGGGAACCACGCCCAGCCTTGGTTGTGAGATGGAGCTTGTGCTGGGATAAATCAAACTCCTGTCAAACAAGAGCTGAGCCAGCTCCTCCCAGAGCTCTTGAGTGCCACAGCCAGGGTGGGGAGCAGTCCTTGGGATGGAAAATCGGGATTGGATGGAGAGTGCCAGGGCCAAGGGGAGCAGTCCTTGGGATGGAGAACTGGGATTGGATGGGGAGCAGTCCTTGGGATGGAAAATCGGGATTGGATGGGGAGTGCCAGGGCCAAGGGGAGCAGTCCTTGGGATGGAGAACTGGGATTGGATGGAGAGTGCCACAGCCAAAGGGAACAGTCCTTGGGATGCAGAGTGCCAAAGCTGGTGTGGGGAGCAGTGATTGAGGTGGAAAATGGGGATTGGATGGGGAGTGCCAGAGCCAAGGGGAGCAGCCCTTGGGATGGAGAAATGGGATTGGATGAAGAGCGCCAAAGCTGGGATGGGGAGCAGTCCTTGGGCTGGAGAATGGGGACTGGATGGAGAGTGCCAAGGCCAAGGGGAGCAATCCTTGGGATGGAGAATTGAGATTGGATGGGGAGCAGTCCTTGGGCTGGAGAATGGGGACTGGATGGAGCATGCCTGACCCTGCTGTGCCCCCAGGCCACGTGCTCTACGCCGACATCAAGATGGAGAACGGCAAGTCCAAGGGCTGCGGCGTGGTGCGGTTCGAGTCGCCCGAGGTGGCGGAGCGCGCGTGCCGCATGATGAACGGGCTGCAGCTGCGCGGCCGCGAGATCGACGTGCGGATCGACCGCAACGCCTAGGCACCACTGCAGGGCTGCAGGGCTGCGCCGCTGCAGGGCTGCACCGCTGCAGGGCCGTGCCTCTGCCCCTTCGCCGCCTCCTCCGACTGGATGTAAAGCTGTTCAGCCCAACCCGGTTGCTTTCTGGAGTAATTTTAAGTCCTTTTTTTAACCGAGGGAGAGCCCCATTTTACTGGTTTTTTGCATTGGAACTGCCATGTGCACAATCTTTTTTTGTAGTTGTGGCATCTCGTTGACCTGACAGATGTAAACAGTCTGACTTTGATAATAAATGCCCATTCAATATTTCAGTCGCAGCATCCTTTACTCCGCTTAAAATCCCTGCCAGCTCAGCTCAGCAAAGTCCAGTTTGTCAAAAAAAATCCAGTGTTCTCTTGATTTCTGACAGAATCTCTTTAAGATGTGTCCAAGGGTGCAGGATCTTCTCTCTCCTGTGTCCCACCTAATCCATGGGCAATCCCAGCTCAAGGTTTTTCTCTAGTGGCAATGCTGGTTTTAAAAAATCTCCACTGGGTTGTGTTAATGGAGAAGGCCTGGGCTGCAAATGGGGTTAAAAACCTCTTTTTCTCTCCTGTGGGTGTGTCTGGCCCAGGCAGGTAAGGGGCGAACACTTGGTGCAGGTGCAGTGGGGGAGATTTCCCCTTTTCTCCAGGAAACGCTTTTAACGTAAATGGATCAGCTGTGGGGCACGGGGGAGGCCCGGGGCGTTCCCGGTGGGGCCGGGGCGGGTAGGGGACAGCCCCGGTGTTGGGGCCAGGCCGGGTCCGAGATAGCCCCGGTGGGGCCGGGCTGGGTCCGGGACAGCACCGAATGGGCCCGAGGAGGGTCCGGGACAGCCTCGGGAGTCCCGGTGGGGACGGTCTGGGTCCAGGAGAGTCCCGAATGGGGCCGGGGAGGGTCCCGGTGGGGTCGGGCTGGGTGCGGAACAGCCGCGAATGAGCCCGGGGAGGGTCCGGGACAGCCCCGGTGAGGCCGGGCTGGGTCCGGGACAGCCCCGAATGTGCCCGGGGAGGGTCCGGGACAGCTCCGGGGGTTCCGGTGGGGACGGGCTGGGTCCGGGACAGCCCCGAATGAGCCCGGGTTGGGTCCGGGACAGCCCCGAATGGGCCCGGGGAGGGTCCGGGACAGCCCCGGTGAGGCCGGGCTGGGTCCGGGACAGCCCCGAATGGGCCCGGGTTGGGTCCAGGACAGCCCCGGGGATCCCGGTGAGGCCGGGCTGGGTCCGGGACAGCCCCGAATGGGCCCGGGTTGGGTCCAGGACAGCCCCGGGGATCCCGGTGAGGCCGGGCTGGGTCCGGGACAGCCCCGAATGGGCCCGGGCTGGGTCCGGGACAGCCCCGGTGGGCCCGGGTTGGGTCCGGGACAGCCCCGAATGGGCCCGAGGAGGGTCCGGGACAGCCCCGAATGAGCCCGGGTTGGGTCCGGGACAGCCCCGAACGGGCCCGGGTTGGGTCCGGGACAGCCCCGCGGGTCCCGCCCGGTGCCGCCGTTCGTGGCCACGTGGCGCGGGCGGCGCGCGGCAGTGACGTCACGGCGCGGCGGCGCGCGGAGGTCACGGGCGATGGCGGCGGCCGGAGGGTGCCGGGTGAGCGCGGGGACACCGGGACGGGACCGGGAGCGGCACCGGGAGCGGCAGCGGCACCGGGAGCGGCACCGGCAGCGGCACCGGGAGCGGCACCGGGCCGGACGGCGCCTCTCGGCTGTCCCGCACCCAGCCCGCAGCCGCAGGGCTCCGGCGCGGCAGCCCCCGGTGGGGACACCCGGGCCAGGCGGGGCCCGGCCCGGCGGGATGAGCCTCCAGCGGGGCCGTGTCCCGGGATTTGGAGGGGTCGAGGCCCCTCCAGCACAACCCCTCCGCTCTCCCGGGGCCTCCTCCGGGGTTTCGCCGGGGCGGCTTTGCCGTGAGCGGCGGGAGCGGCACACGGAGCTCACCTTGAGCCGGAGGGGCCGGGATGAGCCCGGAGTGACCGGGAGCTGCGGGATTCCTGCTCCTTCGATCCCGGTGTGACACGGGAGCTGCGGGATTCCTGCTCCTTTCATGCCCGGTGTGACACGGGATCTGCGGGATTCCTGCTGCTTCGTGCCCGGTGTGACACGGGAGCTGCGGGATTCCTGCTCCTTATTGCCCGGTGTGACACGGGAGCTGCGGGATTCCTGCTCCTTATTGCCCGGTGTGACACGGGAGCTGCGGGATTCCTGCTCCTTTGTGCCCTTGGCCGGGAGCTCTCCTGCCCCCAGTTTCTGGTGCTGTTCTTGAGCAAACACAGATTTTTTTTTCGTGGGATTTCCCTGATTTTCCCCTGCTGCGAGCCCTGAGCTCAGCACTGACCCCTTCCAGAGCAGGAACCTGCAGGATTGGCTTTGGCAAGGGCAGCAGAACCATCCAGGGATTGTTCTGGGATCCTCCAGAACTGGAATCTGCAGGTTTGACTTTGGCAAGGGCAGCAGAACCATCCAGGGATTGCTCTGGGATCCTCCAGAGCTGGGAAAAAAGTTGTGCTTGGAGTTTTCCCAGAAAAAAACCCTGTGCTTCTCACATTTCAGCTCCAGCATGGATTTGTGCATCGCTGCTGTCCCAAATCCGGGTGCTGGCAGCTCTTGGGGCATTCCCTGAGCTCCTGCTGTGCTGGTTTTTTGCAGAAATGTCTCCTCAGTGGCCTGTGGCTGCTCTCCAGGCGTTATCCCATCCCTGCCTTCCCCAGGAGTTCCCTGCACAGGATCAGCAGCCCTGCCCTGGGCACCCCTCAGGTTGGTCCCACCTGGATTTATTCCATTTCCACCCCAAATTGTGTTCTCAGCAGAGTCCCGAGCTGGGTGTGGATGTGGCGCTGGGAAGTGCCAGTTCCAGCCTGAAAATCTCCACTTTTTGAATGGAACTGAAGAAATTTTTGGGGCAGCTGAGGTTGGACAGGGCTTGGAGCATCCCGGGATAGTGGGAGGTGTCCCTGTCCATGGCAGGGGGTGGAGCTGGATGGGATTTAAATCCTTTCAACCCAATCCATCCTGAGATTCCATGAAATCCATTGGCCACGTGGCTCTTTGGAGGATCAGCTGCTGCTTTTCCAAGCAGCTCCATGTTTTCCACACGTTCAAAAAAGCAATCCAGAGCTCGCCTCAAGCCCATCTTGCTCCTGCCTTCAAAACTTGAATTATTTGAGTCCTGTTTGCTCCAATTCCTTGGGATTCTCCAACATGGAATGCTTTTCTCCAGTCCAGATGCTACTCCTCGGGAGGAAGGAAGGGATTCATCTCAGGTTTTGTGGAGAACATCAAACAGGAGTTGGCCAAAAACAAAGAGATGAAGGAAAGCATTAAAAAATTCCGAGATGAAGCAAAAAAGCTGGAGGAGTCGGACGCGCTGCGGGAAGCGAGGAGGAAATATGTGAGTGTTTGGGTGTTCCCTGCTTCATTCCCTGCTTTGTTCCCTGCTTTATTGAGCTTTTACTGCTCTGAGTGAACGTTCCAATCCACAGCTGAACTGTTCAGGAGAGGTTCTGCTTGGCTGGAAGCACTCAGTGTTAAATGGATGCCTCAGAGTGTTTATTTGTTGGAATGTTTGGGGTTTTTTTTGTGGGTTTTTTTGGGTTTTTTTTTAGTTAGTTTGTTTTTTTTTTAGTGGAAAGTCTTTCCAGCAGACACTTGGCTGCATTTCTGAGCAGATCAAATAATGAGGCATTAAATTGAGCATCAAATGGTTTTTTTCCTCTGTTCAGAGTGCTCTGAACATCATCATTTGCAAAGCTGAGCTGCTGCTGCTGCTGACTCAGGCCATGAACTCCTGAAATGTTGCTTTTTCTTCCCTCAATTCCAGCCTTAATGGATTGAGCTCCATTCCAAGCTGGCTTTCAGTAGTTTCTGTCTGTTGATTAATGTTCTTCTCCCCCAGAAAACCATTGAATCTGAAACAGTGAAGACCTCAGAAGTGATTAAAAAGAAACTTGAAGAAATAACAGGGACAGTTAAAGAGGTAAAAGGACTTTTCCTCAGGGCAGCTCTGCTGAAGTTGGGCTTTTGGGGGGGCTGGAATTGTCATTATTGCTGGCAGCTTCTGCTGTTCCTGGAGCTTTTAAAACCAGAGGCATTCATAAAATAATGCATTGGGTGTGGTCAGAGGAAACCCAGCAAGGAATTCCCCTGGAATCTGGGGGATGGAGAAGAGAGAAACCCCACCTGCAGCCTTGGGAGCCCGAAATAAAGATGTGGAGCTGCTGGAGAGAGTCCAGGGGCTCCTCTGGAGCTGCTCCCAGGGCTGGAGCCCTCTGGGGAGAGCTGGGGGTGCTCACCTGGAGAGGAGAAGGCTCCAGGGAGAGCTCAGAGCCTCTTGCAGGGGTAAAGGGGCTCCAGGAGAGCTGGAGAGAGGCTGGGGATAAGGGATGGAGCTGCAATGACCTTTCCTTTTTTCCCCTTGCAGAGTTTGGATGAGGTCAGCAGGAGCGACCTGGGCAGGAAGATCAAGGAGGGGGTGGAGGAAGCTGCCAAAACGGCCAAACAGTCTGCAGAGTCGGTGACCAGGGGAGGGGAGAAGCTGGGCAGGACTGCAGCCTTCAAAGCCATCTCCCAGGTACTGCTCCCTGACTCCCAGGCCATCCAGAGCCTCGGGAGTGGCTTTTTTTGGGGAGCTTTGGGGTGAAATCCAGCAGGCACCTCCCCTGTGAGCTGTGCACCTGGCAGGGCTGAGCTCCTGGGGAGCTGCATGCTGCAGGGATGGAAAATATTCCTCTCCAGAGTGATTTCAACTTCCTTAAATCCCTCTTTTTGCAGGAAATACAGAAAACAGCCAATATTTTATTGCCAAGCTGTGCCTGCCCCATCCCTGGCAGTGCCCAGGGCCTTTTGCTCTCCCAAACCATCGCAGGATGGGATTTTTCAGCTTCTGGAAGAGCTATAAATCCACACTAACGGGGCTGTTTTCCTTGCAGGGAGTAGAAACTGTGAAGAAAGAAATAGATGAGAGTGTTTTGGGACAAACTGGTCCCTACAGACGCCCGGAGCGGCTCCGGAAGCGGACGGAATATTCCGGAGAGAGGATTAAAGAGCAGCGAGTGTTTGAAGCCAATGAGTACGTGGGGAATCCTCTGGGGGGGGATATTTCTGTGTGTAATTGGATGGAAAAGGTAAAAACCAGATCAGGGATGAAAATCCAGGAGCTGTGGGATGGGAGCAGCTGGGTCTGGGTTCACATTCCCAGCAGGAGTGGATGATCCCGGATCTTCCTGGAAAATTCAAATTCTAAAGGTGAAATTTAATGTTCTGAGGTGAAATTCTGAGCTGAGCATTGTTTTGTGTTCAGTTTTAATTTCCTGCTGCTGGACTAAGGCTGAGCTCCTTTTTTCTGGGCTGCTTTGCTCCTCTGAGTTGAGTTTTATTTGTCTGGTGCTTTATTTATCTAGAGTTTTGTTTATCTGATGTTTTATTTATTTGTTTTTTTTTTTTTTTTGTCTGGTGCTTAATTTGTCTGGTGGATCATTTATGTGGCTATCATTTATGGGGCTGCAATTTATTTTATAATTGATGAGGCTATAATTTATCTTGTAATTGAGCTCATCATTTCTGTGCTGTCTCAGCCTCAGTGATGCCAAGTGCTGCAGGGATATTCCTCAGGGTGTTGTCTGTATTTGTTACAAGTTAATTTTTCCCAAATATCCACATTTTATCCCTGTTTTCTGACCTCTCTAGGGAAGCCATGGGCATGGTGCTGCATAAGGACTCCAAGTGGTACCAGCAGTGGAAAGATTTCAAGGACAACAATGTGGTTTTCAACAGTGAGTTGAGCACATTCTCTTCCCAGCCCTGCTCCCTCCTGGATCTGCTCCTCCCCAGCTGCAGCTTAAAACAAGGAAAATCCTGAAAAATCGAGGGAGTTTCACACAACTTCCAAATTGGTGAAACACTTTTAAAAAAAAATTAAAAAATCCTGTGATCTCTCTGGAATGTAAAGCTGAGCTTTGATATCATCTGAGGCTGTTCCTAGTGCAAATGTCCTGAAGACAATCCCAGAATTGAGGTTGGAAAAGCCCTCCAGGGCCTTCAAGTCCAACCTGTCCCTGTCCCCACCTTGTCACCCCCAGGGCCCTGAGTGCCACCTCCAGGAATGGACGCTCCACCACTGCTCAGTGAGCCTAATCCTGAATTTTCTCATTCCATTGGATAAAAGCCATTCCCAGAGGTGTTAAATCTGAGTGTTAGCAGAGGAGGAGTTGCTGAGAGATCAGAACTTTGGGGGGAAATGGGGAAAAAAATGGGGAACAAAACGGGGAGAAAAATCATGAATAAAATGGGAAGAAAAATGGGGAATAAAATGGGGAGAAAAATCGGGAATAAAATGGGGAGAAAACCAACTCCCAGCTGGTGCCTGGTGCTGAACAAAGGGATTGAGGAGAGGTTGTACCCTGCAGGACCTTCCCTGGCTGGGGGTGTCAGCGTTCAGGAACACACATAATCATAGGATATAGTTCCATGCAGGTGCTTTTATTGAGAGCTCTGGGAATCAGGGGTGCAGACCCAAATCTGACTCTGACACGGCTTTCGAGCTGAAAGCTGAAATTTTATATTCTGTCTTTATTTAACTTACATATTAATTATTAAACTTATATTGTTCTACTGTATACATTGACATGAGTTTCTCGTGATCTTTCTTAGGTCCCTGACCACAGTTTCTCATGATTATTCTTATGGTTAAACAGTAATTATGTTTAATGACTAAACAATCATCACAATTATATCATTTATCATGTACTAGCGACACAGGTGCAGTTCTAGCAAGGTACAAGGCCTTCATGTACTTCGGGTATTTATTTTTCTTTTCAAGGCCTACTAAGCTTAATTTTCCTTTTAACCCTAAATCCCCATGATTTTAAAACCCTTTTACTGTTAGGGGTGAGCTGGGAGGGCTCTGATCTCTCTGTTCCCATGGCAGGGTTCTTTGAGATGAAGATGAAGTACGACGAGAGCGACAACGCCTTCATCCGAGCGTCGCGCGCCGTCACCGACCGCGTCACCGACCTGATAGGTACAGGGACATCCCTCCTGCTCCTGCTCTGCTCCTGCTCTGCTCCTGGGGCTGCCAGCCCTGGGCACATCCCAGAGCTCTCAGAGCATCCCTGGCTCCTTATCCGGGTGAGGGGTGGAGGGCAGTGCTTGGGACCCAGCTCAGCTTGAGCTTCAAGGCTGGAAGCGTTCCCAGGGGGACTTTTCCTCCCTCTGCTCTGTCCCCGTTTCCTGGTGACTTTTCCCTTTTCCTCTCTTTTCTGTCACCAGAGCTCTGTCCCCGTTTCCTGGTGACTTTTCCTTTTTCCTCTCTTTTCTATCACCAAAGCTCTGTCTCCATTTCCTGGTGACTTTTCCTCTCTGCTCTGTCACCAGAGCTCTGTCCCCATTTCTTAGTGACTTTTCCTCTCTTTTCTATCACCAAAACTCTGTCCCCATTTTCTGGTGACTTTTCCTCTCTGCTCTGTCACCAAAGCTCTGTCCCCGTTTCCTGGTGACTTTTCCTTTTTCCTCTCTTTTCTATCACCAAAGCTCTGTCCCCATTTCCTGGTGACTTTTCCTCTCTTTTCTATCACCAAAACTCTGTCCCCATTTTCTGGTGACTTTTCCTCTCTGCTCTATCACCAGAGCTCTGTCCCCATTTCTTAGTGACTTTTCCTCCCTCTGCTCTGTCACCAGAGCTCTGTCCCCATTTCCTGGTGCCTTTTCCCTTTTCCTCTCTGCTCTGTCACCAGAGCTCTGTCCCTGTTTCCTGGTGCTGGTGGCGGTGCCAGCACCTCACTGAGATGTTTTTGCAGGGGGATTGTTCTCCAAGACAGAAATGTCCGAGGTGCTGACGGAGATCCTCAAGGTGGATCCCTCCTTTGACAAGGATCGCTTCCTGAAGCAGTGTGAGCGGGACATCATCCCCAACGTCCTGGAGGTGACTCAGCCATTCCTTCCCTTCATATTCCCCTTTATTTTCCCATGGAAAATGCTTTTTTTTTTTAATTTTCCATTGCTAAAATCAAACGCTGGGACAGGATTTGCTTCTCCAGCTTTGCACAGAACTTTGGGAGAGGAATTGGATCCCACATTTGGGTTCAAACCATGAGATAATAAATTATTTTTCTGGTCTGGAAAACAACGAATGAGGTGGGATCATAAGGAAGTGGGTGAGCAAATGGTGATAGTAGAGGGGTAAGGAAAGAAATTTGGGATGTGCTCCTGGTTTCTGATCTGGGATTTAGGAAGAGCAGCAGGTTGTGACCAATGGTTCAGTGGTCGTGGAAGTGTTTGGAATTTGAGGTTTTTAAGGACTTGGTGATGAGAGATGTGACTGTAAATGGATGTGGGTCCCTGTCACCCTGTAACTGCAGCAGGAAAAACAGAGGAAATTTGGGATTTGAAATAGAGCAGGAATTGTTCTGAATTAGGGATTTGAAATAAATTCTTCTGAGAGACTTGGGAGAGACTGGAAAAACTGGGGCTTGAGGAGCCAAACGTGGGATTCTTCTGTTCCTTCTGTGCACTGAATTTTCCAGTGTGGAAAATGGCAGCTCTGCTCCTGTTTGATCCCAGGATTTCTGAGCTCTGGGAACTCTGCTGCCTCTCTGGCAGGTTGAACAGGAAGATTTATTGGGAAGGTTCAGCTGGGAGCTTTAAGAGAGTTTAATTATCCAAAGGTTTATGTCCCTTGGCTTCAGCTCCTGTGTTTTTATAGAAATCCTTTTTGCTGTTCCCCTTCACAGCTCCAATTTCCCCCTGGAGTCCCACAAAATGTGGGATTTAAGGTGTTTTGCTGCTGGAAGGGCTGATTGGTCCCACTTTGATATAGGAGGAGCTTTAAAATGTTCTGTGTGATTTCCTCCCCAGGCTCTGATCTCCGGAGAGCTCGACATCCTCAAGGACTGGTGCTATGAGGCCGTGAGTGAAGCTCCCAAAAACCTCCCCAAAACTTGGCATTCTTCCATGAAAATGGGGTTATTTTGAGGGGTTGGAATTCAGGGAGTTCCTGAATTCCTGACAGTGTTGGTGGGCTTTTATTTGGGTCTTCGTTCCTCCAAAATTATTGTGCTGTAAATCCGAAATAATTCTGCTCTTCCAAATCCAAAATAATTCAAGAGCTGAATTTTTTCAAGTGAATTCCCTGTGCTGTTGCCCACCACCAGAGGGCTGGGAGAGCCAATTTTTTTTCAATTTAATAAATCCTGATGAGCTTTTTTTTTTTTTTTTTTTTTGGTAACAATAATCCAGTCTAAAAGCAAAGACTCTTCCCTGCTTCCAGCAGCCTTGGGAATGACACCTTGGATTGCTCTGGAGGGAAGCAGCAGCTTCAGTGCAGTTTGTGAGCCCAAAATCAAACATTCTCAAGGCAGCTGGAATTGGAAATGAAGCTCCAAGTCAAGAGTAATCAGTCAGATAAGCCAGGGGAGGAAATGGGAATCCTATCCCTGAAAACCTGGGGGATAAAACCTCTTAATGGATCCCACGGGTGCTGAGATGGTGATTGTGATACTGAATTCCCTCTTTTTCCCTGTTTTTCTTTCCTGTTCCCTACTTTTCCTTGCTTTATCCTGCTTTTCCCTGTTTTTCCTTGCTTTTTCCTTTATTTTCCCTGCTTTTCCTTGCTTTATCCTGCTTTTCCCTGTTCCTGCTGTTCCATCCAGTTGTGAGTCCCTCAGCTCTCTCAGGTGCTCTCAGTTCCTCTCACATTCTGCCCAGGAAAAGTGGGATTTTAGTGGGATTTTTGTGAATCCCAGAGCATTTTCTGCAGTTCTTTAATCCCTTCCTTCAGCACATTTACAAAAAATGTGACTTTTTCTCGTGTTTTTTTGTTTTGTTTTGGTTTTTTTTGTTTTTTAGGGTTTTTTGTTGTTGTTTTTTGGGTTTTTTTTGTTGTGTTTTGTGTTTTTTTGGGGTGGTGTTTTTTTGTTTTTTTTTTTTTTTTTTTTTTAAGTGGCTCTCTCCAAGCAAAAATTCCTTTTTTTTTTTGGTGGGGTTTTTTTTGTGGGTTTTTTTTTGGTTTTTTTTGATGGTGACAGAACAATTCCCAACCCAAATTTGTTCATCCCTCAGACCTACAGCCAGCTGGCCCATCCCATCCAGCAGGCCAAGGCTTTGGGGCTCCAGTTCCATTCCAGGATCCTGGACATCGACAACATCGACGTGAGTTCCCTGCCCAGCTTCTCTCTTGGGGGAGGAATTAAACTCATGGGCTCAGCAGGGCTTTTTTTAGGATCAGGAAGGTTGGAAAAATCCTCCAGGATCATCAAACCCAACCTTCTTTGCTCCGAATGCTGGGTTTGAACTCTGGGGTTTGGCATTTCTGCTCCCAGAGGGGAAATCCCAGTGCTGGAAGGGAAAATCCCATTGCTGGAAGGGAAAATCTCATTTCTGGAAGGGAAATCCCATTGCTGGAAGGGAAATCCCAGTGCTGGAAGGAAAAATCCCATTGCTGGAAGGGAAAATCTCATTTCTGGAAGGGAATTCCCAGTGCTGGAAGGGAAATTCCAGTGCTGGAAGGGAAAATCTCATTTCTGGAAGGGAAATCCCAGTGCAGGAAGGGAAATCTCATTTCTGGAAGGGAAATCACAGTGCTGGAAGGGAAATCCCATTGCTGGAAGGGAAAATCTCATTTCTGGAAGGGAAAATCTCATTTCTGGAAGGGAAATCCCATTCTGTCACCTGCCTGGGGTGATCCCAGGGATCCCAGCCCTGAGGAATATCCCAACAGGAAGGGTGGGAGGGATGCTCTGATCAGGGACACTCCTGCTGCAATCCCACAGGATGCTGTGGGGTTATGGATGGCATCTAAAATATCTTGAAAATTGAGCTAGGCTTGGGTTTGGGTGAAAAACTGGTTTTTATTTCCTAATAAATTGAGCTCCAGGTGTGGATTGTGATGGAGCTCATTCCCTGGGATCAGGCATGGGAACTTTGCAGAGCTGTTGAAATTCCCTCAGGGAACAGGAAAATCACCCTATAAATAAATTTATTCCTTTGTGACACAGCCCAGCCTTGTCCTGGTGCTGCTTCCTTTATTAGGGATAAAACAGAAATGTTTGGGAACATTTCAAAAGAGGAAAATCCTGCTGTCCTCAGTCCCTGTGAATTCCTTTTTGGGGCAGCACAGGCAGAAATTCCTGAGCTAAAGAGCAGCAGAGCATCCCATGGCATCCTGCATTCCCACCAAAAAAAAAAAAAAATAAAAGGAGGATGCAAGAGACAGGCAAAAAGAGATTTCTGTGTTTTTAAAAGTAAAAAGTAGAATTTTGAATCTCCACTCCTCTTGCATTCCAGTGAATAAAGTCTTAAAATATTTAATGGAATGGATAGAGGGAAAAAATCTGGCAAACAAAAGGTTCCCACCTTGAAGTGTTTCTGGTACAGTTTTTGTCTGGTTCAGAACAACTTCCTGGCAAAAACTGATTTAAAAGCAGGAGAAAAGGCTCTGTTTGATCCTTGTGGGTCCCTTCCAGCTCAGGATGTTCTGATTCCAAGCATTTCCTTCAGAAAATTCCGTTTTTTTGGAGAGCAGGGTGTCTTTGATTTTGCTTTCTAATTGGAAATAACGGAGCAGAGCTCGTTCCAATTTCCCAGATTGATGGACTTGGGAAAATAGCAAAAAAATCCACAACACTTTGGGGAAAGCTTTGAAGGTTCCCATGTTTTCACTTGGAATTTTTTTGGGAAACAGCTTTTCCATCATATCAGAATGATGGAATTGATGTGATTGAACAGCCAAAGGGGAGCTGGAAATGTCTGGGGTGGTGGGAACTCTTCCAGTCTGGTCATGTTTGGGGTGTGGGACACATTTGGGATTTGGGACATGTTTGAGGTGTGGGACATGTTTGAGGTCTGGACATGTTTGGGGTGTGGGACATGTTTGGGGTGTTGGACATGTTTGGGATTTGGGACATGTTTGGGGTGTGGGACATGTTTGGGGTTTGGGATGTGTTTGGGATTTGGACACGTTTGGGATCTTGCACTGCAGACCCTGCAGGAATGGGGTGATCTCTGAGCTGGGAGTGTCTGGGGTGGTGGGAACTCCTCCATGGCCCTGCAGGAATGGGGTGATGGATCTCCATGGAATTCTCTTCCCTGCAGCTGGCCATGGGGAAGATGATGGAGCAGGGGCCGGTGCTGATCATCACCTTCCAGGCCCAGGTGGTGATGGTGATCAAGAACCACCAAGGGGAGGTGGTGGAAGGGGACCCGGTGAGTGGGGACACGTTTGGGGTCTGGGACACGTTTGGGGTTTGGGACACCTTTGGGATTTGGGATATGTTTGGGATCTGGACACGTTTGGGGTCTGGGACATGTTTGAGATCTGGACACATTTGGGGTTTGAGACATGTTTGGGATCTGGACACGTTTGGGGTCTGGGATATGTTTGAGATCTGGGACACGTTTGGGGTCTGGGACACATTTGGGGTCTGGGATATGTTTGGGATCTGGACACCTTTGGGGTCTGGACACCTTTGGGGTCTCGCACTGCAGCTCCAGCTCCATCCCATTCCCACCTTGCCCTGCTGGGTTTTCCTCCCCCTTTTCCTTTCCCGAAGGGCGCTGGCAGAGCTGAGCCCTCTGGCAAACGGGGTGGGAGCAGAGTTGAGTCCCTGGATTTGGAAAAAACCCCACACTTCACAGAGAATGCCTGAATTCCATGAAAATCCTACAGGGAATGCCCACCCCTGCTTGGAGCTCAGGCTCTGGGAGGTTCTTGGGGAGCAGGGAATGATCTGGGCAGCAAATCCCTGGCACCTTCCAGAGTTCCCTGGGAATAATTATTATCATTATCATTATTATTATATTTCTTTCTCCAAGCAGCTCCAACCTGTCCTGGGCTTCAGTGGCTCAGTGACACGTCATGGGGACATAGGGACAGTGCTGGAGCTGCCACTTCCCAGCACATTTTCCTTGGAATTAATACAGGCATTTAACAAATATTGGCTTTTGCAGTCCTGGCCGTTGGTCCAGGCTGGAAAAATGGGATTAATTAGAATGATGGGGCTCCTCTGGGCTGATTCACAACCAGGGCAGGAAGAGCTGATCCAGTGATTCCCCGCATGAAATTCCTGCATTCCTGGGAGATAAATATTGATGGGATAATTATTGAACAGGATATCAAAGTCTGTTTGCTGTCAGATTCCTCCAGAGCTGCAATAAATCAGGGAGAGGAATTCAAATCCTCCAGTGGAACCCAAAGCTCAGCTTTAATCACGAGCCTGGGCTTGGGTGGAAGTGCTGAGCAGCTCCTGAATATTGAACACGGGGAGGTTTAGGGAGAGGGGAGCCTCAAATCCCCAGAGCTTTGGGCTTGGAAGGAGCTCGAAGGATGGGAGTTGTGGGGTTTGAAGGATGGGAATTGTGGGGTTGGAAGGATGGGAGTTGTGGGGTTGGAGGGATCTTGAAGGATTGGAGTTCTGGGGTTGATAGGATTGGAGTTTTGGGGTTGGAAGGAGCTCGAAGGATTTGGGTTTTAAGGTTGGGAGAACCTTGAAAGATTGGAGTTTTGGGCTTGGAAGGATTGGAGTTGTGGGGTTTGAAGAATTGGAGTTCTGGGGTTTGAAGGATGGGAGTTCTGGGGTTGATAAGATTGGAGTTTTGGGGCTGGAAGGAGCTCGAAGGATTGGAGTTTTGGGCTAGAAAGGATGGGAGTTGTGGGGTTGGAAGGATGGGAGCTGTGGGTTGGAAGGATCAGAGCTGTGGGGTTAGAAGGATCAGAGCTGTGGGGTTAGAAGGATCAGAGCTGTGGGGTTGGAAGGATCAGAGCTGTGGGGTTGGAAGGATGGGAGCTGTGGGGTTAGAAGGATCAGAGCTGTGGGGTTGGAAGGATTGGAGCTGTGGGGTTAGAAGGATCAGAGCTGTGGGGTTGGAAGGATCAAAGCTGTGGGGTTGGAAGGATTGGAGCTGTGGGTTGGAAGGATGGGAGCTGTGGGTTGGAAGGATCAGAGCTGTGGGGTTGGAAGGATCAGAGCTGTGGGGTTGGAAGGATGGGAACTGTGGGGTTAGAAGGATCAGAGCTGTGGGGTTGGAAGGATCAGAGCTGTGGGTTGGAAGGATGGGAGCTGTGGGTTGGAAGGATGGGAGCTGTGGGGTTGGAAGGATCAGAGCTGTGGGGTTGGAAGGATCAGAGCTGTGGGGTTGGAAGGATCAGAGCTGTGGGGTTGGAAGGATCAGAGCTGTGGGGTTGGAAGGATCAGAGCTGTGGGTTGGAAGGATGGGAGCTGTGGGTTGGAAGGATGGGAGCTGTGGGTTGGAAGGAGCTCAGGGTGCCCTGGGGGCAGCCTGGCCGTGTCCCCATGCCTGGCACTCTCCTGCAGGACAAGGTGCTGCGGATGCTCTACGTGTGGGCCCTGTGCCGGGACCAGGACGAGCTGAACCCCTACATGGCCTGGAGGCTGCTGGACATTTCCTCCTCCAGCACGGAGCAGGTGCTCTGAGCAGGGCTGGGCTGGGCCCTTCCCACCCCTCTGGAAGCAGCTCCAGCCCGAATTCCCCACGGGGAGCAGCCCAGGCTGGGGATTTTGGGAGAGCTCCTGGTTATCCCAATCCCTGAGGAATGGGAATCCCTGCTCAGGAATGGCTGGGACGAGCAGGTGCTGCTTTATCCTGGTGCCTCGGGGGGCTCCTGGGAAGCCCACAGAGCTCTCATTCCCACCTGCTGGCACCCTGGAGATCCTTGGAAAGGCCTTGGAGGGGCTCCTGGCTGCCAATCTCCTGCCCAGGCGCCAGCCCCGTGTCCCTGCCGTGTCTTGCACTTTCCCAAACCAAATACAACCAGGACTTTGCACATGGAGGTGTTGGATCCTCAGGTTGGTGCTGGGATGGGGCTGATATTTAAATATCCAGCGGTGAGATTTGTTTATCCACAGCTTGGCAGGGGGAAAGTTGTTGGTTCTGGTCACAAAGAGCCACAGCTGCATCCCTTGGGGTGGTGGGGAAGGTGTGGGACAGGACAGGGAGTGTCTGAGGAGTGGAACTGCTTTGGGAACGCTGGATTTTTCTGTCCCATCCTGTCTCATTCCCAAGAGGAATGCTGTGCTCCTTGCTCAGCTCTCTGGGCTCGTCTGCTCCTCAATCCCTGCACAGATCCCAGGACCAGGAGCAGAAACCTCCCCAGTTTGCTGCTGGAGCATGGGGTAAAATCCCCTTTCAGGCCCAATCTGAAAAATGGGGTTTGAAAATCCCAAATCATGGAAAATTTTCCCCAAATTCAGGTTCTAGTGGGGTTTGGGACTCTCTCCTTGAGCTTTGTGCTGCTGGGAGGAAGAGCAGGGGGCTGTCTGAGGGAGCAGGAACGGTGGATTTGGGGGGTTTGGGGGCTGAGCAGGGGCCGAGGCACCACCTGCCCATGGAAAGGGAGGTTGGGAAAAGGTTTGGAGAGGAAATCCAAGGATTGCTGTGGTGCTGAGGGCCTGCCAGTGTGATTAAAGAGAATAATTCCAGTTGTTCCTCTTGCGAGTGTCCAGAGCTTTGAACATCCCTGGGCTGAGATATTCCCTTTTGGAGCATCCCCACGGTGTGGGGGTGCCACATTCCCCGTTTGGGTCACCCCCAGGGCAGGCTGGGGGTGGCACTGTGGGTCACAACACCCCAGGGAATGCTCCAGGCTGGGTGAGGGGTCGGAATGCTGGGATGGAGCAAATCCAGGGGAGAGGCTGAAGCCCCAGGAGGGGCTGAGGGAGCTGGGAAGGGGCTCAGCCTGGAGAAAAGGGGGATCAGGGGGGTCCTTGTGGCTCTGCACAGCTCCTGCCAGGAGGGGACAGCTCGGGGGGGGGGGGTCAAGCTCTGCTCCCTGGGGACAACAGGACAAGAGGGAACAGCTTCAGGCTGTGCCAGGGGGGTTTAGGTTGGATATTGGGGAAAATTCCTTCAAGGAAAGGGTTGTAAAGCCCTGGCACAGCTGCCCTGGGCACGGCTGGAGCCCCCACCCCTGGAGGGGTTTAAAATCCATGGGGATGTGGCACTTGGGGACATGGCTGGTGGTGGCCGTGGCAATGCTGAGAGTAAAATTCTGATTTATTCAAAACACACTGCTCTTTTATACAGAGCTTTGTGAGGGCCAACTCCATTGGTCCTGAAGTGAAAACATCCCACAGCATTGGTGCAGAGTGCTTGATGCACAGTGATAGAACTTAACTATAAACAGTGTGAAAAACAGGAGAGATAAAGAATTATTTACATTCTTTTCCAGGCTTTTGCCTGGCTAGAAACTCTCAACCTGAGTCCCCCACGGTGCCAGCCGTGCCGTGGCTCCATCCCACCCCTGGATGTCTCCAAGGGAAGCGGGGTTGCCATGGGGATGGGGATGCTGCGATGGTGACTCAGAGCTGCTCCCTGCCAGGCTCTGACATCCCGTGGGCTGTTCCCATCCTGGCGTGGGGGGCTCTGAGCCCCCACACCCCCCACACCTCCCCAGGCTGCTCTGAACCTCCAGCCTGGCCTCGGGGGTCCAGGGGCAGCCGCGGCTGCTCTGGAGTTCCACCCCAGGGGAGGGTTGGGGTGAGATGATGTTTTTGGCCTCTCCAACCCAACCCATTCCAAGGTTCTGTGGTGCCACAGCTGCTCCCTGGGAGGGCTGGGCCATCCCTCGCTGTTATCCCAAACATTTGGGACAAATTTTCCCCAAATCCTGCAGCGCTGCAGTTTGGATAACCAGCACTGCCCTGAGGGTTTTGTTCAGGCATTTCTTTCCCAGTTCCCATTCCATGCTGGATTTGTGGAATGTGATGATCAGGGTGTCCCCACTGATCCCTCACTGCTCTTTGCTCCTCTGTTCTTCCCTCCAATGTATTTTTTTTGGGATGCAGCCCTTGCTGCCAGGTGAAATTGTCCTCCCTGGGCCTTTCTGGCACAGGGGCTCTTCTTCCCAGCCTTCAGCACACAAACATCGCTGCCAAATGACAGCTCCGAGGGAAGAGCTGCGCCAAGCCCGGAGCACCAAGCTCGTTTAAGAACGATTCATTAGAGGGGGGAGGTTTTTTTGAATGAGGTGTTTTTCATCTGGGAAGGGAGCTGGGACGGATCCATGGAGCAGCAGCTCCTGTGCTGCCTCTCCAGAGCTCAGCTGCTCTGCCAAAGCCTCGGAGATGGTTTTTGGGGTTTTTTTTTTTGTGGTGAATGATTCCAAAATGATTCTTCTCCTGTCTCAGATCAGCTCCAGGAGCTGTGAGTTCTCCCTGGAGCTGCTGGAAGGAGCGGGGGCTTTGTCAGGCTGGGTGGAGGGGATGAGTTACTGAGGGATGCGGGGATTCTTCTGGCTCTGACTATTCCTGCCAATTTAAATAAAGAAATAAAGCTTAATTAAGGCCAAGGCTTAGACAACACTTCTCCCCACAGAGCACGGGGAGGAAATTCCACTTGGAAAGGTTCTGCCTGTGGCTGTCACCAAGCGGGCACACAAAGCTTTGGGGGAGCTCCCGGGCAGGGCTGGAAAATCCCGGGAATCCCTCAGGGAGATGGGATCCGACACCTTGGATGGTGGATTTCAAAGCAGCCCTGGGGAGAGAAATGACCACGGGTTAAGGGATGGAGCCATTGATTTTATTCTGTCCTTGATCTCCATCTCGCCTTGCCCTGGGATGTTTTCAGCTGAGGTGCTTTTTAAAACCGCTTTAATTCATTTTCCCTTGGCTGCTGCAGTGCTGCTAATTGGGAACTGGGACTATCTGACAGGATTTACATAGATTTTTTGAAATGGGAAAGGAAAAACTTCCAAAAATACCTCTCTTTTTAAACGCAAATGCAGCAGAAACTTCATGAAACCATTTTCTTAAAATACCCTGAAAATCCAGCGTGATTTTGATGGATCCTTTCTGCCAGCAAGGTTTGCTCTGGGAAAGGATGGATCCCAACATCCCGACAGGCTCCGGGTGCAGCGGGATCTGTGAGCGCTGCCCGGACCTTCCCCGTGCTTCCCTGGGAGCTGAAGCTCGGCTTTCCCTGGGAACTGAGGTTCGGATTTCCCGGGAACACAGGCTCAGATTTCCTTGGGAATACAGGCTCAGATTCCCGGGAACACAGGCTCAGATTCCCGGGAACACAGGCTCAGATTTCCCTGGGAATACAGGCTCAGATTTCCCTGGGAACCCAGCCTCGGCATTCCCGGGAACACAGGCTCAGCATTCCCGGGAATACAGGCACAGATTTCCCTGGGAACACAAACTCAGATTTCCTTGGGAACACAGGCTCAGATTCCCGGGAACACAGCCTCAACTTTCCTTGGGAATACAGGCTCAGATTTCCTTGGGAATATCAGCCTCAGCATTCCCGGGAATACAGCCCCAGCATTCCCGGGAACACAGGTTCAGATTTCCTTGGGAATATCAGCCTCAGCTTTCCCTGGAAATACAGCCTCAGCATTCCCGGGAACACAGCCCCAGCATTCCCAGGAACACAGGCTCAGCTTTCCCGGGAACACAGGCTCAGAATTCCCGGGAATACAGCCCCAGCATTCCCGGGAACACGGGCTCAGATTCCCGGGAACACAGCCTCAGCTTTCCCGGGAACACAGCCCCAGCATTCCCGGGAACACAGCCCCAGCATTCCCTGGAACACAGCCCCAGCATTCCCGGGAACACAGGCTCAGCATTCCCTGGAACACAGCCTCAGATTCCCGGGAACACGGGCTCAGCTTTTCCTTGAGAACGCTCCGGCCCAGCGGCTCCCCCATCCCGGCCGCCGTGGGACGGGATCTCTCCTTTGCCGTGCTCGGATCCCGGGGATGGAGCGGGACCTGCCCGGGCGGGGACGAGCCCCGCGGTCTCCGTTGGCACCGGCACGTCCGAGTTCCCCGGGAACGTCTGCCAGGAGCTCCCGTAGCCATGGAGACACCGAAGCCGTGCACAGCAACACTTTTCCAGGCGTTTTTTCCCTTTTTTTCCCCTGCCAGCCTCCTCGGCTCTGTGTGACTCTGTGGTGCCCACAGCAAGGGCTGATAATTTTAAGGGAATAGCGGAATTTTCTATGGAATGTCAGGTGAGAGCCCTGGCAGAGTTTATCCCAGCATCCCAATGCTTCCGAGGTCTGTGCCGCACCAACGGGCAGCTCTTCCCATCTCCAACCCAAAGGATTCCATGTGGGATGGGGCATCTCTGCTCTGGAGCCGGGCTGGGAGAGCTGGGGGAGTTCAGCTGGAGAAGGGAAGGATCCAGAGAGAGCTCAGAGCCCCTTGCAGGGCCCAAAGGGGCTCCAGGAGAGCTGGGCAGGGATCTGGGATGAGGGATGGAGGGAAAATAGAGTCACAGTCTGCTCTGCCCCGGGTGGGTGGGAAGGCAGCACTCCATAGGGACGGATCCAGCCAGGAATGGTGCAGCAGCAGGGATGTGCTTGGCTGCAGGGATGCTCTGGGTTTGTGCTGGAAGCTCCTGGCTGGAGAGGAGCAGCAGCTCCATCACCACGGCCCTGTCCCTGCTGCCAGCCCGTGCTGGCCCTGGGAGTGTCCCAGAGATCCTCAGCAGGATGGGATGAGTGGGATGGGATGAGGAGGATGGGATGAGCAGGATGGGATGAAGGGGATGGGATGAGCAGGATGGGATGAGCGGGATGGGATGAACAGGATGGGATGAGCAGGATGGGATGAACAGGATGGGATGAGCAGGATGGGATGAGCAGGATGGGATGAGCAGGATGGGATGAACAGGATGGGATGAGCAGGATGGGATGAAGAGAATGGGATAAGCAGGATGGGATAAGCAGGATGGGATGAGCAGGATGGGATGAGCAGGATGGGATGAGCAGGATGGGATTAGCAGGATGGGATAAGCAGGATGGGATGAGCAGGATGCTGAGCACAAGCAGCAGCAATGCTGGAATTCCAAGCTGGCATTTGGAAGGGATCTTGGCCAAAAACCCCATGGGGCCTGGATCCCTCCTGCCTGTCCCAGCACGGGGCTGCTCCAAGGCTGTGTCCCCTTCCTGGCACCCCCATGGCTGCTCCTGTCCCCCACATGCCCAGAGCCACTCCCATGGATGCCCCTGCAGCCACCCGAACCCCCCAGTCCCGTATTTCCACAGCATTCCCATGGCTCTGCTCCTCCTTGCATCCCCAGGCTGCTCCTGCAGGACTACACCCACTGCAGCCCCTGTCCCTGTTCCCAGGGCCCCGGGGCTGTCACCTCCCCGGGTGTCTCCACCACATCCCTCGGCATCGCCCCCCACGACAGCACAACCCCCAGGGACCACATCCCTGAAATCCCCCCAGTGACCACATCCCTAAAATCCCCCAGGGACCACATCCCTAAAATCCCCCCCAAGTACCACATCCCTAAAATCCCCTCAGGGTACCACGCCCCCAAAATCCCCCCAGGGACCACATCCCTTCATCCCCCCAGGGACCACATCCCTAAAATCCCCCCAGGGACCACATCCCTAAAATCCCTCCAGGGACCACATCCCTGAAATCCCCCCAGGGACCACATCCCTAAAGTCCCTCCAAGGACCACAT